CCCGCGCGCCGCCCTGCTCGGCGAGACGTGCGGCGACGCCGGCTGCTGGGCGGCGCCGCAGCGCGTCGCGAGCTCGCTCTCCAACCCGCGCGGCGTCGCGGTGAGCGCCGCGCTCGGCAAGCTCTACGTCGTGGAGCAGAATACGCTGCGCGGCGCCTCGTATGAGCTCTTCTCGGGCGACGTGCTCCAGTGCACGCTAGAAGCGAGATAGGGGGAGATGTGGGGAGATGTGGGGGACGTGCTCCAGCCCTGCACGCTAGAAGCGGAAGATGCATTCTGGTCTTCCAACCGGCGCATGAGAGGACACGGACTCCGCTGTCGCTGCTGTATTCGGAGCCCGTGCATCCACGCGGTGCTCTGAATACACGGCACACCACCGTCCTCCCGCCCCGAGGTTGGCGTGTTCAGCACGTAGGCTCTGCACCGACGGGCGGTACGAGTGCGGCGCGGGCCAAAATGCGGGCGAGTGCGAGTGCGCGACGGGCTTCGGCGGCGCGTGCTGCGACACGCCCTCCTCCTCGAGCGGTGTGGTCTCCCTCCTCGCCACCGCGGGCTGGTGGGGCGCGTTTGCGCCGCCGCTGCTCGCGGCGTTCGCTCTCCTCTCTTTTGGGTTGCGCCGCCGGCGCGCCTCCCCCCTGCCGGCCGGCTGGTCGCTCGGCGACGCATCGCTGCTCGAGGCGCGCGACGCGCGGCCCATGCCTCCGCGCGTGGCTCGGCGGCGCGGACTCTTCGCCCAGCTCGACTCTCAGCTGGATGCCGCATCGCTCGCGCCTGTCAACGTCGGCGGCAGCGCGCTCTCGCTCGCGTCGCTGCTCGCGCCGATGAGGCAACCGTTGCTCGGCGAGGGCGGCGCTTGCTCCGGCTCGCACCAGCCCCCTCGGTGAGTAACGAATTGATGACCCGAGTCACCCGAGATTACCCGAGATTACTTGATTCATCAGGCTCGCACCAGTCCCTGCTCTCCATGCCCGTCGCGTGGGGCGGCGGCGCGACCCGCGAGCCGTCGAGCTGCGACGGCTCCGCCCTCGGCGACTTCGACCTGCCCTTCGACTCGACGCTGCCTTCGCCCCACGGCGACCGCTCCTCCGTCGGCTCGATCTCTCGCGACCGCACGCCCCTCTCAACCCCGCAGCGGCCGCCGCCTGCGGGGGCGCCGCTGGCCACCGAGCCGGGCAGTGTTCCTCGCGCGGCCGCCACGGCCGAGGCCGGCAGCGGCAGCATGCCCATGAGCCGGCACGGGTCGCGGATGCGCCTCTATCACGAAGTCGTCAACGAGGCCGACACGCAGGAGACGGCCCTTCCCGAGGACTCGTTCGACGCGCCGCTCTCGCCGCTCTCGCCCCACGGCGAGCTGGCCGAGTCGCTGTTCTCGGGGTTTGGAGGCATGGACTTTCGTCCAAGGACGCCGGACCCGGGTTCCAGTGGCTCGCAGGCGCCGTCTCCCGGAGTGGCAACGTCGCGGCCCCACGGGGCGGAGTGGCAAGGCCCCGGTGGGCCCGACGGGGGCAGCCCTGGTGGCGCTGGGGTCTGGGGACGGGATGGATGAGAACAGTGTGACGTCGGTATGGTGTCCAGAGGGGTTGCGAGCAAGGCCGAAACCTCAGGAGTTCGCGCCTCATCCCTCAATCGAGGCTGGGCCTTCGAACGTCGAACTTTTCTGCGCGTTTGGCGTTACTTTCTGCTGCCACAACGATCCTAATGAGATCCCACTCTGCTCCGTATTCTCTTGTGTCGTACACCGACCTTACAGCGGAGGCGAAAGGTCTCGGAAGGAGAGCAGGAAAAAATTCGAGCAAATATATAATCGAGATAGACACCACAGGCGTCTCGGGGCTCATCCTTGTTCCCGGGGCATAACTCCCCCACAGCGCAGACGTTCACACTTCCCACAGCGCCTCGTCCAAGACCTGTCTTGTGTGTCCTGGACCTGCCTTGCTTTCTGCTCGCTTTTATGTCGCTTCGCCTTACCAGTTACCACGCTCTCACTCCCCTCGATGCTGGCGTTCGCCGCGCTCCATTGCCTCGCGCGCGCGTCCTCTCTGCCGATGGCATCGTTCATGGCTTCCCCTCCGGGAATTGAACCCGGGTCTCGACGGTGACAGCGTCGGATACTAGCCACTATACAAAGGAGAATGCCAGACTTCAAAGACGCGATCACAGCAGCGCTGACCAGCCTCAACACAAGGCCGTATCCGACGCGGACATGAGGAGCCTCGCAACAGCCCAAATAATCAGCAATACCATAACACGAGGCGAGCACGACATATATGACCCGAGATCGACCCGAGATCGACCCGGGATCGACCCGAGATCGACCCGAGATCGACCCAAAATCGGCACGAGCGATCTACCCGACAATGCACCAAAGCCCCCTGCGGGGGGATCCCCCCCCACCCCGAGTGTCCGTGTCCTTCGCGAGTCACCGATGGGGAGCGGGGGGGGGTGCGAGATGCACAGGGGAGGCTGGGGAGGGGGGGGTCCACTCTGAAGACTGCCGACCGCGGGGGGGGTTTCTCCCACAGGGTTTTCACCCTCCGCGTGAGGATCGGCGCGGCGAGGGGGTAGGTTCGAATTCGCCGCGCAACATTTCACCCCCACAGGACCCCGCCCGCCCCCCCTCATGGGCCCACCTAGCACCCAAACGAGCCTTCGCACCCTCTCCTTGCGTGGTGTCCCCCGCTATGTGTCGCCGTCTTCGGGGCACGCAATCCTGTGCAGTCAGGGCAAGTGGGGGCGGGGGGCACTCCCACCGACGTATGTATCTGTGGTGACTGTCCCTAGTCTCGGAGGGGGGCTTGAAGCTAAGAATATTTTATTTTTGTCGTGTTGTGTGTGGTTGAAACATCACGATCGTGTCGGCGCGCTCCGTCTCCAACTCTGTCTGGGCCTGTGGTCCCTGCCAGATCCTGCCGCGCTGCACGCGTACAAGCCGCAGCGGCGTAAAGAGAGAAAGACGTTTTTGATGCCACGCCTTTTACAACTCAAGTCTTCTGGGGAGCATTTTTCCACAACCAGTCTCTCACGCGCGACCTACTCACCGCCTCTCACGCGTAGGTGCGCGGCCTCCTTAGCCAATGGGAGGCGGTGCAGAGTGTTTCTTGTAATGATTAGCATCCCTGGCTGTGTGTCTTGTGAGCTTGTTGAAGATGAGCGCGCGCGTCTCAGCGCAGGCCAGGTCTACACTGGCCGCGGCACCAGCTCCCGCGGTCTGCACGCTAGGAGTGGTTGGTCCGCCCTCGCAATGACTGCATACTCCCCCCCCCCCCCCCCCGCCCTGTCCATCATCTACTTCATATACCATGAGGCGTCCAAACTAATGCGATCCAGTCCAAGTATTAGCCTGCGGCGTGAATCCGTGTTCTTTCTTAGCGACCTTGACGTGAGCAAGGCGCCGGGCTCCGATTTCGACGAGCTGCGGGCGGCGCATGACAGGCTCAAGAAGGAGCACGGCGAGATCACGGCGACGTGGAAGGAGTGGGACAACAAGACGAAGGCGGAGTACTTTGACCTGGTTGGCGGTACGACAGGCAGGCCCCCGGACGTCGAGGTGGAGCCGTGGGACGAGCCCGACGAGGGCGAGAAGCTGCGCGCCTCCGCGCGGCCGCCGGAACCGGCTACGAGGGTGGCGCGCGCTCTCGCGCTTCCGGCCGCATACTCT